AACAACCGTTTCCGAGTCCTTTCGAGCTGTGGATCGGCTAGGAGCTTTTCTGTTCTTCGACAGAGATGACAGTTCACGAAGTCACCCGGGCGCTGTCATTCGCACGATCGCGTATAAGCTGGCACTGTCCAACCACCATATCGGTTCGACTATTTCCGACGTGATTCATCGCGATCCCGCCGTTGTGGATGCACCGATTCGGACGCAATTCAAAGCACTATTGCTCGATCCGCTCACCTCTGCTGAACAACATCTGCAGGGACCAATTCTCATCATTCTCGATGCTCTTGACGAATGTGGAGATCCTCGCTCGCGAGCTGCATTACTTTCCTTACTCGCAGACGAGTTTCCCAAACTTCCCCGCCTCTTTCGGCTTTTCATTACGAGTCGACGTGAGCCGGACATTACCGCACACTTTAGATCTCGTTCACTGGAGATAGACCTCGATATTGGTGTACCTTCCAGCACCAAGGATGTGGAGTCATTCATCCGCCACGAGATGGAATTGATTCGACAGCACAGCAGTTTAGGTCGATTCTGGCCAGAAGAGCAACACATCCGAACTTTAGTGAATCTTTCTGGTGGTCTCTTCATCTGGGCAGTGACAGTTATTAGATTCGTCGATGATTACCGTCCGGAAGAACAACTCGAAATTTTGATCACTCAGGATGCTGCTCAGAGCTGCAATCTAGATGACCTGTATGCTATAGCACTTGAGCATGCAGGCCCCTGGGTTCAAAACAAGAGGTTCGCACAGGATGCCCGCGCGGTTCTAGCATGTGTTGTACTTGGAAAAGTGCCCATGACCAACAAGACAATTGACATGATCTTGGGGAAGGAGAGCTCCGGAGATGTCCTCAAATATCTGGGATGTGTCATACAATGGAGTCCGGGCAAGGAGGCTCGAGCACTGCACGCCTCTTTCGCCGACTATCTCACGGATCCCAGTCGTTCGGGTGGGCGACCGTGGTCGATTGATCTGAAGGCCGACCACCATTCTTTGTCTTTGGGATGTTTGCGGATTCTCAACGACGAGCTCAAATTCAACATCTGTGGCCTCGAAGATTCACATCTCCTAAATGCGGATGCACCGGACATTTCCTGTCGGGTAGCTGAACTGATGTCTCCTCAGCTTACCTATTCAAGTTGCTTTTGGTTCAACCATGTCCAAGCAACTCCCTTCGACGACACAGTACTCCAAGCCATCAACAGACTTCTTCATCATAACTTCCTGTATTGGCTTGAAGCTCTCAGTCTTTTGCGTCGAATCGCGATCGCAACAGCAGCGCTAAAAGTTGCAGTCCATTATGCCAAGGTACTTGCATCGGTTCCTGGTTTCAGCTCAAGTTCTAATGGATCCATACAGCAGGGCAAAGACAAAGACCTTGAAGATTTTACTGCCGATACAATCAAATTTGTAGCGGGCTTTGCGCCTGTCATTGCACAAAGTGTACCTCATATTTATCTGTCCGCTCTACCATTTACACCTCGGGGCTCCGCATTAGCAAAGCAACTTTCTGCAAACTTCCCCCAGACTCTGACATTCCAGAGCACTTCGGGAGACCAATGGCCGATGTTACAGAAGATCTTGCGTGGGCACGATGATTCCGTTTACTCTGTGGATTTCTCGCCAGATGGTTCGCGCATCGCCTCTGGGTCGGTTGACTGCACGGTGCGCGTATGGGATGCCGAAACCGGCGTGCTTTTTGCGGGACCGTTTGAAGGCCACGCTGATGCCGTCACATCCGTTCAGTTCTCACCTGACGGCAACCGAATTGTGTCTGGGTCGTATGACAAGACGGTCCGTGTATGGAACGCGCACACCATCTTACTCGTCGCGGGACCGTTCAAAGGTCACACAAATGGGGTTACATCCGTCCAATTTTCGCCAGATGGTACGCGGATCGCCTCTGGGTCGGTTGACTGCACGGTACGCGTATGGAACACCAAAACCGGTGCGCTCGTCGCTGGGCCCTTTGAAGGGCATACTGAGGCGGTCCTATCCGTCCAGTTCTCACCCGACGCCACCCGAATTGTGTCTGGGTCGTATGATAAGACGGTGCGCGTATGGAACGCGTATACCGGCATACTCGTCGCGGGACCGTTCCAAGGCCACACCAATGGGGTTACATCTGTCCAGTTCTCACCCGACGCCACGCAAATTGTGTCTGGGTCCCACGACAAAACAGTGCGCATATGGAACGCGAGCACGGGCACACTGGTCGCAGAACCGTTTGAAGGTCATACTGAGGTGGTCCTCTCCGTCCGTTTTTCACCCGACGGCGCGCGAATTGTTTCTGGGTCGAACGACAAGACAGTGCGCATATGGAACACCCAAACCGGTGCACTCGTCGCTCCTCCATTTGAAGGCCACACTGGGATCAATACTGTCAATTTCTCACCGGATGGTGGACGCATTGCATCTGGATCAGATGACAAGACGGTCCGTATCTGGGACGCCCAACCTCGCGCGCTCGTCGCGGGACCATTTGAAGGGCATACAAGCTTCGTCACCTCCGTCCATTTCTCACCCGACGGCTCTCGAATCGCGTCCGGGTCATGGGACACGACAGTGCATGTCTGGGACGCTCAAACCGGTGCGCTTGTTGCTGGCCCTTGCGAAGGGCACCGCGCCGCTGTCAATGTTGTTCATTTCTCACCGGATGGAACACGGATCGCATCTGGGTCGGATGATAAAACGGTGTGTGTGTGGGACGCCCACACCGGCGCACTCATTATGGGACCGTTGCAAGGCCACATTCGTGCTGTCACCTCTGTCAATTTCTCACCGGACGGCTCTCGTATCGTGTCTGGGTCGAATGATAAAACAGTCTGCGTATGGGATTCTCAAAGCGGTGTACTGGCCGCTGGTCGATTTGAATGCCACACCGATCGAGTCAGGTCCATCCGTTTCTCCCCGGACGGAGTGCGGATTGCATCTGGGTCGGATGACTGGACAATAAAAATATGGAACACCCAGACCGGTGCTCTCATCGCGGGACCGTTCGAAGGGCATAGAGGTGCAGTTCACTCCGTGCATTTCTCACCGGATGGTTCGCGGATAATATCTGGGTCCACGGACGGTACGGTACGTGTCTGGGATATTGACACCTGTACAGTCGTCGCTGGCCCGTTCGAAGCACAAAGCAGTCTCGGAGTCCACTCAGTTCATTTCTCGCTGCTAGATGGCTCGCGGATCACATCCGGGTCCCTGGACCATGCGGTACGCGTGTGGGACGCACAAACAGGTGCACTGGTGGCTGGCGCATTTGAAGGGCACACAGGCTTTGTAACCTCTGTCCATTTCTCACCGGACGGTGCGCGAATCGTGTCTGGGTCGGATGACAATGCGATACGAGTATGGGAGGTGCGAGGGTATTACCCTTATGGACCCACCTTTACTTATTTCCCTGCAGATGAACTCTCCTCCCAACAATCCCCTCGGAGATTACCATTTAAACGACGGATGGGTGTTGAATTCTGAAGGGCACCTGATGTTTTGGGTGCCTCCCTGGCTTCGCGAGGGTCTATATTTCCCCCGCAATTCGCTTGTCATCTGTAGGCAAGGGACAGCGAAGCTGGACCTCAGTCGCTTTGTGCATGGCACCGAGTGGCAGAAATGTATTGATCTCAACTTTAGGACGCCAAATGATTTAGGTGAGTCAAGCTTTCTCTCGTCTAGCCCGGTTTACTTTACGTGCTTAGATCTCGAGAGGAGTTCAACGATTTGAGTGTTCAAAATCACTGACCTTTCTTCCTTTCTTTTGAACACTACGAGCACTAGCGCCTACACTTCCCAGCTCTGCTTTTAACTAAATAGACGGCCTTTGGTTGTACTTCTATTCGCCGCTTCCTTTTTGGAGTCATACCTATGCCATTTCTCACTCAGCTTCAGAGTCACTGTCCTCGGTTATTCACTCCCATGCTCAAATGTTATCCCTATTCTACTCCACGGAGAAATTCTGTATTCACCACATTCTTTACCCGGTGAGGTGAAAAAATATGCCTACTGGTGGTAAGGATAGGGATACTGGTTCTGTTGTAATGATTCAACTTTCAAGTCTGTATTTCATTTGCGAATTTATTCGCGTCGAGGACACCAACTATACATGATAGCCGCTTGTACAGCTATATAAAGATACTATCCTTCCGCTCATCAGGTGTTCAGGCGTCCCTGGACCCGCGGCGTAGCTTACTAGTAGACTGAGTTCAAAATTTATTATTTTTGGCACGTCTCCAATAATTGAATGCCAGCATTCGCTGAGTGAAAACCTTTAAATCGGCAGGGAGACGAAAGTATGAACGTCAGGCTATATGTACATTCCATTTAGGAAATTATTGGCGGGCAGGTGCTAGTTGTTCCATAATATTCCCGAGCCTTGTTCAATATTCCTACTCACTGTTTCTGATTCACGACGAGTCAAGTACTAGTACACTTGCCCGAGTCATACCTTGGTTGGCATGCGCCCGTATGTGGCTCTGCGTCTCTGACTTTAACTTACTTCATAAGTGGAATCGGTCCCATACCACCATGTTTGCAATGATAAATCGAAAAACAAAAGGAGGAATCTCCCTGTTGGGAAATAAATTTCCTCTTCGTCTTTGCAAGCACGAGTTCTATACACACTGACAGTCTAACACAGTGGCCGCGTCACGGTCTCTCTCTGCAAACATTTCATTCATCGATGTCCACTGTATATAACGTTGTCTTGTGCTCGACGCTGTCCTGAAGATGAAGGAAAATCAGCTTATGGCCAACAAAATTCAGAATCGGGCATACTAGGATGTGCGAGATTGCAGGAGTCCCTGCATTTTCTATGAGACTAATAGAAAAAAATTCGCCCTTGGGAGCCACTTCCCAGTAAGTGTTCAGTGCCGCCGTCTGCATTATGTGCAGGCAATCCTTGAACTAGTAAATCGGCGGGCGATGGTATTATTTACTGTTTTTTGGATAAAACCATGTATCAATCAGGCTGTTGACGGTGGGAGAAATCACCAATGTCGCCGTGGATAAGTGGTATATTGGCCCTTTCGAATACACCAGGTGGTACATAATTACATTGTATGGGGCAGGCGTGGGTTCGATTCCCAACGGCGACATAGGCCAGCAGTTGTTTTTCTTATTCACCCGAGGCTTAATATTAATACACACACGTTGAACATCGGTCGTCTCACAGCTCAGATTTTTTTTTTTTCAACAAGAGCGCGCAGGGGCGCTCCGCCTCGGAGGTTCTGTGGTGCCACGTCTCTGGCAAGAATTCTACTGCAGCATGGTACAGTAGTGTTGGCAGTTAACATACGCTGTCCTAACTTTTTTGTGTTTTTGTAAGGGCGAAAAATAAATTTAGTCGGAGAGGTAACGTCGCGTGGGGAACAGAGTCATTTTAGTTCGAAGGAGTCATTAAAAGTGGCAAGAAAGGCCCTGAAGCGGACAAAAAGAGAGGCATCGGAGATGGCCGAGCGGAGCTTCAAGGCTTCGGACAACGCGATTTTATAAAGAGAGACTACTTACGGGTTCAAGATACGGGTTGATTTTATTGTATGATAGAAAATGTATTTTTTGAACAAGTTTACATTGATAGATACAACCACATTTACCACGCTTACGAGGTGCGGAACGTTGGCGAGAAAAGTCCACCGCGAAGCACATTGGTAAGGCAGGCCTTCCACATCGGTTCAGGAAGCTATCGACCTTACTGAGTTGCAACCCGATGCGTTTTGTGGGAATACGCACCTGACCTATCCTCTCGAGGTTTGTACGATGCACTTCAAACACCCCCAGCGGCTGAAACGTCATCGTCGAGATCTGATGAAAGAGGGAAAGGATGAGTACCATCGATGACGAGAAGAGTGCGCGAGCGAAAGAAAAAAAAAAAGCTGACTTGACCCATAGCCTCCAAAACAGGTCGGCTGTCGTCCTCCGCCTGCTCAACACTCATCACAAGCATGGCCCCGAGGGCGCTGTCATCCAGGCGAATCTTCTCGTTCTCTTTGAGGATGCGCCCCGGATTGTTCGAGCGCCCCTTGAAGATGCGCTTCAGCTCGGCGACGGATACAACACGCACTTCCTTGAGCGTGTAGTACGTTCTCGGGTCGTTGGAGGCCGTGCGGCAGAGCCCAAGCACGAGCACCTTCGACTTGCGCGCCTCAATGTCGCCCAGAAGGCCGAGGGCTTGCCAAGCCACGATCGGCAAGCCCTCTCTGGATTTGGATCAGTGACTTATCGCATCCCAATGTGCCGGCCTGACCCGTTATGCACTTGGGCCCAAGCCCCTAGGTCTTGCATTACTTGGCCTCTGGTATGCGTCAGTCACGATTAACTCGCCCGTAAGCTCGGGGACGGACACGGTGCGAGTGCCTTGGCGCTTGCCGTCTCCCAGGTTGCCCATGAGCATCGACATGGCCTCGCGTGCGAGCTCACCACTCGTGACTCTCTTGCTGTCGCAGTTTCAAAATCCAGTAGAATCCTAAGCAGAAAGGCAGCAGATACCAGTCGATCTTGTGTTTCTTCCAGTTCTGGCGTTGGCATTCGACTACGATCCGTTCAAATCTGGATGCCCAGGGCAGGAGAACACACCCACCGGAGCAGTAAGGCGCACTGGAACACGCAGAGCAGATCCTCAACTTCGATAGGCCCACCTCTGCGGCCGTCTTTTTGCAGTGGTCGCAGCGGATAGGGCCCCTTCGCATCGCTGCAAGCTCTTCGACCGTGTATTCCTCCTCCGAGTCGGAATGTTCGCCGGGCATAGGAGTACTGTAGGTGGACGGATAAAGGAGATGAAGGTAAGGTACAGAAGACAAAGAGAATTCGCTGATCAGATGATTTTCAGATCAAGTGACGCGCCACGAGTTTCCGACCACATAAAAACCCCGGCTTCAAACGGACAAGTTGAAAATTGTCTAGAGGCTTCGAGTGAAAATTCAACTGGTTTAGAATTCAACTGGATGTAGGGTGGAAATGATTGCGGCATACACCCCATAATTTTACAGTAAAATTTCCGACCCTTTAATTTGCAGGAGCTTCCCGGGGCCTTGACCGCTTCGAGTAAGACATCGCCTGGGAATCGGATCACTCTAAAAGGCTCTCTGGGAGCGGAGGAACCCCAGTCGCGTCGATAGCTTGAACATGGAAGGCGGATGAAAGAGACCGAAGAGCCGAGATGTCGGCCCCGCACGCCAAACCAAGCACTGCATCGCCCCCAGGAACAAATACGCCACATCCTTCCCTCGATTCAAAGTCAAAGTGCCCTTGAAAATCCACAACAACAATAATTCATTCGTTTCGTAAGAGGTAGAGTGAAAGAAACACGGAGACAGTAAAAAGACCAGAACATGATTCGAGACGTATGTAGCTAACTATGCTTTTCGAGAAGAGAAATGATGGAGACAGAGAGGTGATTCAGAGAGTCATTCGAGAAGGAGAGAGAGAGAAAGAGAGAGGGAGAGAGAGAGTCCGAGTGGTGGTAGTATGTAATAGCTAGCTGTGCGCGAAAACCAAATTGTCGTAACGTTGTAAGAAGAGGAGTGGAGTAGAGAGCTGGCAAAACAGGATGGATAGACTGTGCGGTAGACTGTGCGGAGGTAGCGAGGATAGATAGTTGGGACGAAGGAAAAACACGAATCAGGAACCAGGAACAGTAACGGAAGGGAAAGGAAGAGAAGAGAAGAAAGTAGGCATGGCGGCCAAAGGATTAAAAGGATTATGTTGTCGTACGAACGAAATGAATTTGGATTTGATTTGATTGGCGGCGATTTCGAGTGGGATAGCGAGGCGAGATTGGAGAGAAAGAAGAAATGAGGAATCGTGGTGAGACCGAGAGAATAGTGGCCGGCTGTATGCTGCGATAAGAGAATATTACAATAGGTTCCATCCATTCCGTTCCGGTCGTTTTCGTCGTGCGTGCGTTCATTCGTTCATAGGCTCGATGCGTGCGTACGTTCGTGCGCGCGGAAGAAGAGGGGGAGTCGCGCGCCGGGGAGGAGGGATGAGGAGGGGGTTACTTTAATGACAATGGCGACGGCGATAGGAGCGAGAGCGGGCAACGACGAGACAATAAGACCAGAGCCATCCGTCCATCCATACGAAAACACGACAAGCAAAGAGCAGCGGGGCCCTTCTAAGGCGACGGCGTCCGCCCCATCGTCATCCGAAACTGCACGCTCCCCCCGCTGCTCGTGCTCTCTGCGCTCGCGCTCTCGGGAATCATCGGGCTCTTGAGGCTCCAAGGCCGGTCCCCAACGCTCAGCTCGCGCTCGCGGTCCAGATCCAAACTCGCCAGCGTCCCATTCAAATCGTGCATCGCATCAAACTCCTCCCGGTCGCGGTCGCGGTCCCCGCCGCGCGCAGAGCCCGACGCCGGGCGCGAGATCGGCTGCGTCTGCGTCTGCGGCGCGTGGTGCTGGTGCGCCTGGTAGCGATTGATCTGGAACGCCGGCGGGCTCCCCGAAAAGCCGCCACCCCCGTACCCGCGCGTCGGCGACCCCCCGCCCATCCCCATCGCCATCTTTCCGGCCGCGTTCGTCGGCGTCTGCAGCACGGGCAGGAATCCGGACGCATACGACTTGCTCGGATGCGGCAGCCCCAGCCCCGCCGCGAACGGCGCCGCTGAGTACGAGTCGCGCCGCTTCCCGAGCAGCTCCGCCGCCGCGTACAGACCCATGCCCCCCTGCTGCTGCTGCTGTTGCGGCTGCCCCACGTGGTTCGGGTCGGGCGAGAAGGGCGAGAAGCTGGGCGCTACGACCTCATACGCGCGCTGCGGGTACCCAAACGGCCCTTCGTCGCGCCGCACCTTGAGGCTCTCCTCCGTGAACTGCGGCTGCGGCGCATTCCCACTCCCACTCGCGCCCGTGCCAGCGCCGAGGTACGCCTCGCCGACGCTGCTGTTGCTCGGCGACGCCGAGTGGAAGCTCCCGCGGTACCCGTCAGCACCGCCACTACTCCCGCTCGGGGGCTGGACGTAGCTTCCGCCGTTGGCGGGCTCGGGCGCGGCGTAGGCGGCGCTCGAGGGCGGGGCGGCGTACGCGTTGCTCGACGACGGGGCGGCGTACGCGTTGGGCGCGGGCACGTACCCCTGGATGCCGAACTTCTGCAGGAGCATGATCGCCTGCTCCTGCGTCATGCCGTTGAGCATCGCGGGCGTGATGCCGTTCCCGCTCCCGTTCGCCGGCGCGGGCTGCTGCTGCGGGACGACGACGGGCACGGGCGCGGCGACGGGCGGGGACGGGGCGGCGGCGGCGGCTTGGAGCGCGGCGGCCTGTGCTGCCTGTGCAGCGGCTTGTGCGGCTTTGTCTGTGGGTGCGGATCAGCACGTGCGAAGAGAGTATAATGTTAAGCGCCCGAGAAGCTGCCAAGCGCCGAGACGGAATGCGGCGAAGGCAGCAACGAAGGAAGGGGGAAGGAGAAGGGACGACACTAAACGGAAAACTCACACTGACTCCGCCCCCAGCTCAGCCGTATCCTACTCCCGCCCACAGGGAAGCCCTGCATCTTCTCAATCGCGCGCTCCGCGTCCGCCTTGCGCACAAACTGCACGAACCCGCAATGCTTCCCCACGGGCACCTTGACCTGAGGAGCGACGCGAGTCAGCATCAGCATCCGAATATGTAAGCGCAGGCGAAAACACGCACATAATGAATCTCCCCAAACGGCACAAAGAACGTCCTCAGCGTCTCCTCCCCCACAAGCGGACTCAGCCCCCCCACAAACACCGTCGTATTATACGGGTCCGTGCTCGTCAACTGCTCGCCGTTCGGCCCAATCAGGTTCCCCAGGATCGCCCGCGCGTGCGCGTGGTGCTTCCACTCCTCCGCCGCCTGGGGCTGCCCTTGCATCTGGGGTTGTTGGCCTTGTATCTGCGGCTGCCCTTGCCCTTGCGGCATCTGGACCTGCGGCGCAGCGGGGACCTGCGGCTGCATCTGCATCTGCTGCGCGAAAAACTCCTGCCCCTGCCCCTGGCCACCCGGCGTCTGCGCCGGTGCGTAATACGGCACCGCGATCGGCGCAGTCACGCTCTGGCTCTGGCTCTGCCCCTGGCCCTGCGGCTCAGAGACAGACACGGACGCAACGGACACCGAGTTCCATTGCATGCTGGCGTTCGCGT